GACCCAGAGGGGCAGCACACCCAGGCTACAAGTGCTCCACATCCACTGCCCAGGCCTCCGGCGTCTCAGCACCCACCATGCTAAGGGGCTCCTCATCTTTGCTAATGTGCAAATACCACCCCAGTGTTAGGCCCAAAAAGGCCAAAAAGGAGTTTTGCTTTCTGCAGAAAGAAACCTCTGGTTTTCAATGGAATTCCAGAGCCAAGAGGAAGTGAGGACCATGTTGGAATCCAATTAATGGTCCAAAACCCAGTATCCTGTAACAGCCTACCTGAGTCCCAGGTACAACATCACAAAAGCTAGAGGAAGGCCTCTGTGCAGGGCCAGAAGGGCTCAGCCACACAAAACCCCAGCTCAAACTTCACACAGAGGGAAAAGCCACTCAGAAGCGGCCAAGTGGTACTCTGCCCAGTCAGGAAGCTCGTCAAGGGGGGAGAGGACAGGAGCATGCTTACTCATAGGCCTAAGGGGGCAGAGCCTGAGAAAAGGATTAGAGAACAAAGGGGGGGGGTGTGGTCAGGGGTCATGGTTACACTTCCCCTCCCCAACTTTTAACTACAGAAACCAGCTGTGGATAAAGATTCAGACACTAGACAGAATGTGGACCTCACCGGGAGCCCAAGTGGGCAGGCTACCACACAGGCTCTCCTGCCACCTCCGTCACCACCAACCTCCATCACTACCAACCAGAGCTGGCACTGATCCAAGACCCTGAACCAGCAAGACTGCACACAGCCTCAGAATCCTGCTTAACGCCATGCCCCGGGGAGCAGCCTCCTCTCACACAGCTAACATCTGAGCTGAATCTCCTCAATCATGCCCACACTAGAAGGTTCTTCTTGAAATGCTGCCCACCCACTCCATTCGTCATTAGCGCCTTTGCTGGAACAGTCCAGCACAAAGCACAGAGCTGGAGGACTCAGCTCCGGAGAGGAAAAGGCCTGGCCAATGGCACCTGGAGGCCTCATTCTGTTATCCATGTTGCTGGAAATGGACTCCTTTCTCACCAGTGGATGAAACAGCTTTCTCCTAATGTGCCTATCACCTCTACAAATGTCCACTCTCAGGGACTTGACCTTTAATGAGCAAGGAGACTAACCTCATCGAGAGATTAGCCACTTCAGCTACCTCGCAGTCTCTGCCTTCCTCAGCTCCATTTTGACGGGCAGACCTCATCTGCCTAGGCTTTGGGGAAACTCCTCTAAAGGCTCTAAAACCCCTTTGCACCAGGTCGTTCTTTGCAACTATAGTGTAGTTGTATCAGCCAATGCGTCCTTTTAATTCAATGCTGGATACTTCACAGTGTCCACCTTATGGGTCTCAGATCACCACTGGACAGCGTTTATTCATTCCCTTAATGAGAAGATAGGTCTTGGTCCAGAAAACGGAAGCAGTAGCTTTAAGCCCAACAAAATGCTTTAGAAGTATGCCAGTAGAAAACCCTCAGAAAGCACCTTTAGGATTGTAAGGGCTTCAAACCCTTTTTAAGTCCTCAATTCCATTTGTTACCCCTGCAATGATTCTGCTCCTTTTCTCTTTAAGGGGAGACTGAGTCAGCAGGGCCAGCTGGCCCTCTGAACATTTTTCTGGTGTCTGGAAATAAGATCACTTCCAGGGACTAAATAATTTTTCTCCAGCTAACCTCATAAAAATGCAGACTTTACATGCCTATCAGATGTTGTTGTTTTTTTTTTTTTTTCCATCCGTATCTCAGTTCATGCCTACAACGGAAGGGTCAGTTTAAGAGACTGAAGCTAGATTTGGAAGGCAAGTCATGCATCGTTTGCTACAACGTTACATCAAGTGGTCAAACCCAAAATGCACAAAGAAATCAAAATTACAGTGGAGAAGACAAAGAGGTACAAAGAGCTTAAAGGTCTCTCTCCACACTGAAATCCCATTCCAACTTCCTGCTTCAGCACCGTTTCACTATCAGAAAAGGCCTTCATTGGCTGCCAGCCATGACCTTCAAAGCAGCATCCGATGGCCTTCACTTTTGGGGAGGTTAGCTTGATTGCTGACCGCAAAGGCTCCACGCCACTCTTGTCGCAATCGGGTACAGAATTCCAAAGTTAACACTGGAGAATTCCAAGGGCATGTCACCTCCAATTCATCAACATGCAGTTCTGGATTCTAAACATTCTTATACTTAATAAAAACAGGAATGAAGGAGGTTGTAGGGTGTAAAAAACACTTTGGAGAAATTGACTTGATAGCATTTTAAACCCCTGAGACAAAACTGATCCCGTTCCCTCCAGTCCAGTTGTGTGGTGGGAAAGGGGTCATAGGGGAAATGGCATATGGTGCCAGGCCTAAGAGAACAGTCATTGTCCAGTGCCCGTAATAACTTAACCATTGCTTGCATGGCAAGGAAGGGAAACCATCTGGGAAGGAAACAAGGACTCCACCAACTGTAATGAAAAAGGTTTTCTCCCCACTTGTCATGTTTTCTTTTCTCATTTCAACTGAAGATCATTCCAGGTTTGGTTTATTCATCCCAAAGAAATCTCATCTAATATTGCCATTTGGAAAGGGAAAGAATATGTCACAATGGGGGTTGGTACTTCATACACATCACACGTACATTCCATTTTCTATACATAACCAAAGGATAACATTTAGTGCTATTATAACAAATCTATTCCAGATCTTGCCAATAATAGGAAATGAAACAAGAAAGTTTTTTTGATACAAAGAAAAAGCATTAATTCTTGGGTACCCATGTTGATTTATACAAACTCTTCCACCTGACGTAATTAGGGCTGAGGTAATGAGTGGTGAGAACTAATTAAAGCACAAAATCCTTTTAAGGTAATAAATACCTTAAAGCTTTATTTAACATGCAGCTACAAATTGCAGTCAATTTGTGGAAATTGACCATCCTGGTTTGCCTGTTAGGAGATCTCAGACATACGGCATGGTAAGGGCACACACCTTCACACCTAGTTCCGAGCTATGACCTTTCTCTGACTCAGGGTCTACTAATTAGAATTCTCCGTGGACCAAATCCAGTAATGTGGTCTGGGATTTCCTATGTCCATTTCTGTGAAATCAAGCAAGAACGGAGATACTTGTGAAGACTAGAGCCCTTCTGGATTTTTTGCAATATTCCCAATTCTTAATAGTTGTCACAAACCACCTATGTTGATGAACACTTTTATAGTAACTCGTTTTCAATCTTGTCCAAAATATTCAATGAATTTTTGAAGCAGTGACTTTTTATACTCCTGTTTAATCCATGTATAAGATATTCACGTACCATTTCATCCCATTACTTAATTCCAATAGCAAGAGCACAGCTGGCCCAGGGAGGTTTGGGAACAAACACAGCAGTCCCGTCAGCACCCAGATCAAGCACTCCTGCAGGAAGATGTGCGAATCTTGAGAGAGTGCTGGACCAGCTGCTGGTGCTGGGTGTGCTACGAGGAGAACTTGTTTTACATCATACATGTATTACATGAAACTGTAGAATACCTAAGTTAACTCAAGTCCATAACACAGCTGTTTAAAAAATATGAAATATTCGTGTGCAAAGAAGTGCGTTTACTTCACAGAAATTAGTTCATTAGGATTCATATTGAGCTTATTCTAGTGTTCATCTGCTTCCGCCTGCCTTAGTGTCATGGAAAATACCAATGCATACTCCCATCCCCAATCTCTACTGGTTACCAGCTACACTTCAAGCAGTATGTAACTTCAATGATATTCAGCCCCTTACTTACTGGAATTTGTTCTAGATCTGGATTTGGGGGAAGGTGGCGTTATCCCAAGTCCTAGGTCACAGACCTTTTCATCAGGTAGACATGACTTACATATATGAAATAACTGGAAAAAGTGTCAAGAAGGTAGTAAAAAAGCAGATGATTAAATATATGTTGCCTATTTTTGTACTACAGAGTTCATGGTCACTCAGTGCTACAGGCGGTTGACAAACATTCACTGCTGAGGCTCCTACGGACCTCACAGTACTTCCAACCAGATAGGAACCCTCCCACTCCTGAGGTTTAGGACTGCTATACAATTACTCCCTGGCCACAGCCAGACAAAGGTGGTCACTGGAGACTCTTACGTCCTTGCACACCTAATACCAGCTGACCTTAAATTACATGGTTGCCCTCTACATTCAGCCCCTCCCTCCCTCCCTCCATCCCTGGTTCTCCAACAAAGAAATACGGAGGAAGACAAGGGACCGGAAACCATCCTTTCCACTTCAGTTACCACACTCCAGGTATAGACTGGACCTCTAGGAAAGGACTTCTGCTCTCATAATTAAAGTCCTGAATTAAGATCACAACCTGTAATAAGAACTGAACTTTTCAGATTTGGAAAACTTGTATGTATAAAATGATTTTTAGTTTTCTTTCTTTTTAAGTTACTAGAGCCTTGCTTCAACTTGGCCCAATGCAAGGAGGAAATCAGGCCACAGTTTTAGATATCCTTTACATAAAGATTGTTCACTTTACATAAGTAACTGCTTTCATTGCCATTCAACCCACATGTATAGATGGCAAAACCAACAGGTACAAGAAAATGGCTGCAGGAATGGGCCCTGTGGGGTCCCAGTGTGATCACTCACAAACCATTCTGAACCACGAATACATCCACTTGACACCATATTGCTTTGGATCTACAGGATGCCCCAGCCTACACTGATGCGAGATATCCCTTTCTGTCACCTGACCACAGCCTGGAGCCTCAGCCCCTGCTTCTCCACAGTGAGCTTCGTGGAGCCACCAGAAGGCAGGTGAAGATCACTTCAACTGGCTGGAGGTTCACACGGACACAGCCCCATCAAGAATCTCATCAACAATCTGTCTTACCTCCAGCTCTACTCACTCACCAAAAAGCGAAGGCCGTCGCAATGAAACAGGTCTTCAAAAACTATTGCCAAAAATGGCTTCACTAAACTAACCATCTGGGATAAAGACTAATCCCAATGGATAGCATGATCCTAAGTATTTTATTGCTTAATGACATTTCTCATCACACGTATCACTCACCAATGCAGGCATGGACCCTCACGGACAGCTGTGTCCTCAGGACGATGCTGTGTTTTTTGCCCCGCCTAATGGAGACAGGAAACAAAATATACATGGGTATCAGAGCAGTCACCGAGATGACACCTAGCTACATGCTATCAATCAACTTTAAAGTTCTGGCACACCCGCCTCAAACAGATTCTAGATAAGCAGGGACCTGTACAGAACAAGAATTTATCCTGAAAAAAACAGGAGGTCACAGGGCTTCACAGAAAATAAAACAGTCAAGTTTGATTCTGTTGGATGGGCACACAGCTTTTATTGGCTAACCTGGCCAACTTGTCTCCGCCACAGAGTTTGCACGTACCCATGCTGGGAAAATTCTAAGATCTGCAGCCACCAAGTGAAATCCCTGGAATAGAACACCACAAATCTGCTCAATCATGCCTCTGACCATGTTTACATTTTTGGATCTAGACGGAGGGCATATACATCACCAAGAGCTGGTTTGCTATCCATCAGGTCAATACTATTACAGCTTTTACTCTTCATTCACAGGAAGGTGGGAGTCTACCCAACAGCTTACAGGCTATTTATTCTCAGGAATGCCAATTTATGCCATGCTTTGTCTCACCTTTGCCTCCTTCTCACTTCAGGGAAGCAAACAGGATGGCCCTTTGCCCTAACTCTGCTCCTAGAGGGGCTCGTCCCACCCTGAGCCGAGAAAGATGGCAGTTAAGAGAAGCAGATAAGTGGGAGAAAAGAGCAGAGCTGTCTGCCTAAGGGTAACAAAGGCTTTGGGATTTGGAAAAAGTGGGGAGCCGATGGACAAAGTGGAGCCAGCCAGCCAGCACAGTGGCAGGTAACCTGCTGGGTCTCTCGGTGGCTGAAACCCCTGCCATCCCTCTCCTGGCAGCTCCTTTCTCCCCATCAGGGCTTCCCTACAACAGAGTCTGCCAGTGCTTTCCTGCTTCCTGGGTTTGTGGCTGTGCTGGAGAGAGGGGAACGAAATCTGACCAGGGCACAGGTTAATATCATGGTTATAAATTCACAGTAATCACCCAGTGTATTTTATTCTTGAGACCAGGTAAGAGGATAAAGAAGTATGGTTTTTAAAGTGGTTTCTTTCCCAGGAGAAAGGAAAACCCCTTGCCCAGTCCTGTAAGAGCAGGCAGTGGCCTCCAGCCCAGCAGCTGCCCATAAGCACAAGATGGGCATTTAGGGTCCCTTCAGATCCCGCCGAGCCCCTCCTTTCTACTTTGTGTTCCTCTGATGCTTTTACATTTGCCATGCGCAAGGCACTGGTCTCGAGCAGCTTGTAGCAAATATGCAACACTTGACTCTTCACAAGGTTGGATTCCTATTAACCCAGACTTCAAAACTTTCTACATGCGCGTGCACGCACACACACAGACACAGACACACACACACACACACACACACACAGCTTTTCCTCCTGACAATCCAGATGTTGATGCTCCTTCAGTTCTTGTGAGCATACTAGAAAGTTCCAAGTGCATGGAACAGAATGAATGAGAAGACTTCAGTGTGTTGTGGAAAAAGGCAACAGGAAAGGTGTTCTGGGATGGTGGGGGTGGGCGAGTAGGGGTGCAGTCACCAAGTGTGTAGCCTCACCCAGAGATGAGCAGAAGCCACGCTTTGAACAGGGACCCGGAGAACCAAGGAATGAAGGCCAGACCCTAATTATGAGTAACAGCCAACCCTACAACCATAGATCTGGAAGATTTTCTGTACTCATGTTATCAGCAGTTATGAGTCAATAAATAAAGCATGTAGACAAAGTACATGCTTTAGATGTCCAGATGTGGGGGGAAAGTATGGAATGGCCAGGGAAAATATTTCAGAAAACCTCAAGTTCTCGAAGAGTTCAGAAGGGCCAACTGATAGCCCCACTTTTATCTTCAAACAACTACAAAAATCCGATGCTGATGAAGTGCTTGTTTTCCCACTGAATTCTCTAGTCCCACAGAAGGCGTGTGACATGGTTGTCTGGGATTCCAGGCACTTGTGTACAAACCAGGATGGTCTTCCTGAGGAAACTGAGGCAGCCGCACCACCCTGGAGGGGCCTTCTCTCTGTGTATGTACACTGAGAAAGCAAGCCATCAGCTTGGTTTGTGCTAAACCCTAAGGGAATTTAAAAGGCCACAGAAAAGGAGCATCTGGGTGGCTTAATTGGTTAAGTGTCTGACTCTTGGTCGCCACTCAGATAACGACCTCACCACTCAGGTAATGACCCTGTGGTTCAGGAGTTCATGCCCCACATCTGTCAGTGCAGGGCCCGCTTGGGGTTCTTGTTCTCCCCCTCTCTGTGCCTTCCCCCTAAATAATCTTTTAAAAAAAAGGCCACAGAAAAAAGGCCTATTTTGTAGTTTTAGCACTTATAATTCCTCTGTGTCGACATTCTATCTCCTTCCCTGCCCACCCCTGTACACAAAATTCTTAGTGGAAGAAACCTGTGTAGAATTGGGGGCCACGAGGTGTGGAAGCCACCTGAGAGAAATGAGGCCCCAAATCCCAGGAGCTCCTAGCAAAGAGGACTAGCCTAGGCAGAGGGAAGTGGTGGTCAGTGCAGCCTGGTACACAGAAAGGGTCCTTCACCTCCCACCTCACCCCCGTTTCTCCCGCCTTTGACGTGGGTGCCATGGCTATGCCCATTCTGCAGATGAGGAAAGTAAAACTTGGAGAAAGGAGATCAACTGCATCAAGCCTCATCGCTGGTGGAACAGACCCAGGCTGAAAGCAGGGCTCCAGAGTCACCTGCACCATCTTGCCCTTTGCTGCAGGATCGCCCCACTACATCACCTTCTCTAGGGCTTCCGGACAGTGAGGAGTCCAGGTGTTCTTAGAGCCTGGTTTAACCTCAATGCTGAGAGCCTAACAAAAAGCACACACAGTAAAAAATTATGATGCAGGGCACCTGCGTGGCTCAGTCAGTGAAGCATCTGACTCTGACTCGGCTCAGATCATGATTTCACAGTTTGAGACACCGAGCCCCATGTCAGGCTCTGCACGGACAGCATGGGGCCTACTTGGAATTCTCTCTCAAAATAACCATTTAAAAAATAATGCGGGCAGAGAAGATGTTGTAAAAAATTGGGGTGCCTGGGTGGCTTAGTCAGTTAAGCGTCTGACTTTCGCTTAGGTCATGATCTCGCGGTTCGTGGGTTCGAGCCCCGCATCGGGCTCTGTGCTGACTGCCAGCTCAGAGCCTGGAGCCTGTTTCAGTCTGTGACTCCCTCTCACTCTGACCCTCCCCTGCTCACGCTGTCTCTCTCTCTCCTAGAAATAAAAATATTTTTTAAAAAAATTATGATGCAAGTGAAGAAAATATTGGCTAACCAAATCAGGTTTATTCTAAGAATTCAAGCATTAGAGGAAGTTTCAGATTTTATTTAAATAGGTCTCAAAGGTCAATGCATGGAGAGCATCCATCGTAAGGGCCCTTTACTTCTGATTGCTTTCCTCCCGCCACAGCTTCATTTTCTAACTGCTCGATGATGACATACTGGAGGAAGGTAGATCTTTGTTTCTTTAATATATGGCTCTCTCACTGCTAGTACTGATTCTAAAAATCTAGAATTTTTAGAATGTGGCTAATTCTTTTTGCTTCTTTTAGGGAAATAATCACTTTTAGGGAAATTAGATTATTCATCTAAGTAACAATTATTTTATCCCCACTTTTCCAGTAAAAATGTACTTGTCTGTTTCACTGTTCAGACTTTGAGGAAGTTAAATCACAGGTGTACTTTTCCTCTGTTCCCAACTGGATACTAGGTCAGTTTGGGTTCAGAAAATAATGCTAAGTTGTTAACATTTATGGAATGTTTATTATGTGCCAGGCATGGAACTACCCACTTTTTGATTAGGTTTCATTTTTAAAGATAAGCTTTAGGTTCAGAACTCCCTTCCTCCAAGAGATCATACCAGCCTCTCTGGTCCTTAATGCTTCTCGCCTGGTTCCCAGCCCTCTTTATATGCAGATTTAGTCTTCACAAAATTACTATGAAGTAGGTTACATTGCTGTTTTTAAAGGGAAGAACTTGAGGCCCAGAAAGGTTAAGCAACCGTGAAGTCACACAGCTAGAAAGTGACAGAGCTCGAACTCCTCCCGGCAAGTCTGACCCCAAAGCCTGAGCTACCACCTCCCTACATCTGCCTCCCAGATGGCTACTCCTCCATTCCCTCATTCCACCCACGTTCAGAGGGGTCTACTGTGTGCTGGAGAGTACAGGATATGCCAGGGTACAAAGTACATCCCGCCTCAGGACAGAAGCACAGAACTCCTCTCACTCCAAAGGAGTGAACGCTATGTGCACAAGGAATGGACACACACCCCTGCTAGCCTTTGCTTTCCCCCAGGCGGCTGGGATGCAGAGGAGCAGGTAAAAGCTGAAGCGATCACTCTGGATACAGAGATGGAATCCACATTTTGAGGATGCGGCAGCTGTTCCACCAGTCCTAAGGACGACAGTCTGCATTTGAACTCCTAAACAAGAAGCTGATCTTACTTTTTATTTATATTTTTGTTGCTGTTGAGAGAAAAAGAGTAGGAACCCAGGAGAGGGGCCGGGGGGGGGGGGGAGACAGAGAGAGAAAGAAATTTAAGCAGTCCCCACACTCCACATGGAGACCCAGGTAGGGCTTAATCCCATGATCCTGGGATCATGACCTGAGCCAAAACCAAGTCGGATGCTCAACCCACTGAGCCACCACCCAAGTGCCCCCAAACTTCTTGAAACCTTCCTGTTTTGGTTCAAGATTTACCCTAACCACTACATGCTCTCTTGCCTCAATGATACTAGAAGTAGCCACATTTAAAGAGTGATCAAACCGGAAAGATGGAAGCCACCCCCTAAGGATGGCAAAGTGGAAAGGTAAAATAATCCTGAGCTCCTAAGAGCATCTTGTCATCAACAGATCATCCTTCAAATGTCCCTAATTATCCTCTTTTTAATTGGACTTCATTTTTAAAGTTATAGGGTTACAACTCCCTTCTTCCAAGGGATCACCCCAGCCTCCCTGGTCCTTGATGCTTCTCACCTGGGTCCCAGGCCAATGTGTCT